ATCAAACAGCCGCAAGACGAGGATCCCGACGAGGGTGTCAAAGATCTAGTGGAAATTGTGCTTAAGAAATTTGATGTCGATAAGGATGGCAAGGTGAGTAAGGGATCTTAATCCAGGCTCATGATGCAATTGTTTAGCTACTTCATCTCTTTCAACAGGTCTCTCTAGATGACTTCATGGCCACAGTTACGGCTGAGCCGTTGCTCATCGAGGCCTTTGGACAGTGCCTGCCCACCGACAGCGCCATCGTCTCTTTCTTTTCCACACTTCAGGTCTAGACATCTAGACATGCATAAACTAAAATCAACATACATATATTTATAGACATATCTTGTTTGAGTGAATAAAATCGTTGAGACTTTTATTTCTGTGTATATGTATTTATAATTGAACGTGATTCGAACTAATTTTCGACAAAACGTAGGTTGGTAGATTAACTTTTGAACTTGATCTTGAGCTCGAAACTGATCAGTCATGCTGAATATGAAATAATTGGTGAAGTCTAAATCGATATCTGCCGCACAAATGGCGATTAAAATAGAGCCCGGTAGTTAATCTATGTCAATTGAACAGTGCCCGTCATAAGATTAGATACAGCGATAAGTCTACGACTCTTAATGCTTGGTATAAGAGTTCACTAGTCACACAATCTTTCAGTCAATCCATCAATTGTTCAGTCTGTCACTAATCAATCAAGCTGTTTATCAATTAAAATAGGCTATCAATCAGTCCGATGTTTTCAATCAGGCATTATCAATCATTCCGGTATGTCGATCAATCAATCCATCAGTCTATAAAACACTTCAGTCACTCAATCAAGCGTTATCTTAAGAAGTCTACCAGTCGCTTAGTCAAAAATTTTTCCACTTAGAAATTGAATCAATCAATCATTTTAGCCGTCGACTGACCTTCAGTCAATCTGTCAATCAGTCTGTAAGTTATCTAACTGAATTGCTTAGCTAGATATCAGAAACTCGTAAAATTCATCAATCCCTCCCATCATACTTAATCAATCAATGAATCAGTCAGTCAGTAAATTAACCTTTCAATAAAAGTACAATTCAATCCATCAATTAATCATTGTGTTTGTGGGTCTGTCAATCAATTGATCAATCATTTGTTCAGTCAATCAGTCATTCAATCGTTTAGGCAAGCAGTCATTGAATCAGTAATTCAATAATCGCAATCCTCCATTTACTCTCACGCGCGCTTCTAATCGTGTGACCCGCACTGTCCGCAAGCAAAAACACGGACACAAGTGGCGCGGCTTTGCCTTGACAGTCACGACGATAATGCGCGGTCATGTCGAATCTAATACGAGCTGACCGTTAGAACTAGTCAATCAAGCATTGCGATTAGCTGTTAGCAAAGGTCGTCAACATTGTCTGTGCTCCTGACCCAAAAAACCAGATGCTAGAAGCCCGACTCGAATTGTAATGTGCCGATCCGCCCACTAGTTGTAGAGCGAGTTAATACGCGGAAATGTATCTATATGTATCTATGTATCTATGTATCTATGTATCTATGTATCTATGTATCT